TACTGCAGCCACGCTATGTTGTGTAATGTGATATGGAAGCTATCAGTTGGTGAGGTGGACTGGTGCAGGTGTTTGAGCACACACATTTATGAATATGTGCAGGTTTATGAATTACGCACTCAGCAAGAACATATTAATGCTCACTGGACACTCATATGTGCTGAGTGGCATCTGTCCCCCTCCAGATGTGACAGAGCTAAGTTGTAAACGAGCTACACAAAGCTTTGGTGTCCCTTCAGGAGGTGCACAGTCCAGTAAAGCAGTTGATGTGACAAAGGCTTAAAAGTTGTGCTCCATCAACGTTCAACTTGAACATTCTGTGGAAAGTCATATTGTAGACTTTACATTGACTTTAGTAACGACTGCAAAGCTATTTTACTGATCCAGTGTTGCCTTCAGGAATTAGTCAAATCGGTGGTTAACCAAAAAATGCACTTATAATGTTGTCATATTGTGTTTTTATTGTATGCATGCTTATTAAGCCCCTTTCCCTCCTCGAGCTCAGGCTCCTAACTGTCATGGCAGCAGTCTCCATGATCCTCCATCTGCCCGCACAGACCAATCTCTACGGAACAGTTTACTTCCTCTGGGAACTTTGAATGTTCTGTGTCTGCCGGTTCTTGAGGGCAGTCGTCGTCTGTTGCCACGGTCATTACTATCATCATGCTACTAACAGAACCACACTGCTGACGGAACCACACTGCTGACAGAACCACACTGCTAACAGAACCACACTGTTGACGAGACGGCACTGCAATCAAGGCCACACTGTGAACAAAGCTGCCAGCCAGTGGCACCACGCAGCTAACGGCACCACAAAGCTTTTTCATTCATTCATTCAACCTTTATTTATACAGGTTAATCCCATTGAGCCTCGGGGACTCATTTACAAGAGAGACCTGATTTCTTTAACAAAGAGTGATGACAACAGTGGATAAAGCTATTGGCACAACACACCTATCGGGACCACGCTGCTGGTGGGACCACGCTACTGACGGGACCACACTGCTAACAGGACCACACTGCTAACAGAACCACATTGCTAACAGGACCACACTGCCGACAGGACCACACTGCTAACAGGACCACACTGCTGACAGAACCACATTGCTAACAGGACCACACTGCTGACAGAACCACATTGCTAACAGGACCACACTGCTGACAGAACCACATTGCTAACAGGACCACACTGCTGACAGAACTACATTGCTAACAGGACCACACTGCTAACAGGACCACACTGCTGACAGGACCACACTGCTAACAGGACCACACTGCTGACGGAATCACATTGCTAACAGGACCACACTGCCAACAGGAACACACTGCTGACAGAACCACACTGCTGACAAGAACACACTGCTGACAGAACCACACTGCTGACAAGAACACACTGCTAACAGAACCACACTGCTGACAAGAACACACTGCTGACAGGAACACACTGCTGACAGAACCACACTGCTGACAAGAACACACTGCTAACGGGAACATGCTGCCGACAGGACCACGCTGCTAACAAGACCACACTGCTAAAAGGAACACACTGCCAACAAGAACACGCTACAGACAGAACCACGCTGCTAACAGGACCACACTGCTAACTAGGGCTTTAACAGACAGGTTGATTCCTAGGACATCTATCGAATTTTTAAATTTCACGTCAAGTTTTCGCAGTGATGTCATTGCGTCACGTGTCACGTGATCCGCACCGGGCTACTAGTAGAAGCTACTAAATGGATTCCTCCCAGCAGATGGACTGAGCGGAGCATGTCCAGTCTTGGCAAACTGGTAGAAATGCATTAGTAGTCTGGAAATATTTCACTAAAGATGAATCTTCCGATTCAACTACCGTAAGGAAACAGAAAATGAATCAACTTCCTGACTGTTTGGAGCTCGTTGCGAACTGATGTTATACCATAATCTGTGACCACCGTATATTGTGACCGTAGGGGACGGTGTTGCATGCACTGTTGCAGGTCACAGAATATGGTGCAACACCGGGTCCAATTACCGAACCAGAACCAGCTTCCTTCTGACCTTGTTTCACAAACTAAAAGCAAAAAATATAAATCTCTAAACCTATAAAAAAATCTATAAGTATATTAATCTCTAAAACTAAACCTAATGCGCACCACAGCTGGTGCTGGTGCGAGGTGGTGGACAGCCCCACTGTTTTTAGTTTTGTTTTTGACGTGCCGCATGTTTCTTTCACTTTTGCAGCTTAATAATAATAACTAATAGTTTAGTTTTTCCTGTGACTTATTTGCAGTATGATCAATGGTAGGAGCATAATATATGCTCCCAATGTTTTGTTGGTCTTTTTTTGTAAATAATAAGACGTT